TTTTATCAATTTCATGCAATACCACGAAGATTGCCACTGACAAGACCAAATCAAAAATATTTTAGTTGTTAATGTCTTTCTCAATTAACACTTGGGAAAGTGTACATGCCACTCACTTAAAAAAATATAGGCATATAAAATATATATTAACTTACCTTTTACTACATATTTCCTGAATATATTATTTGCATGCCATATAGTACAAAAGCATTGTATGAAATATATATCAACATATTATATAATATAGATGGGATATATGAGATATATTAGTATACTATATAATACAGGAGGATAATAGAGAATATATATTAGCATTCTGTATAATAAAGGTACTTCTGTGAATGTCCCTTCACATTTAGAGAATAGTGATCTCACTATTTTCACACTTGGAGATAATGAATTCAAGCAGACACTTCAATTTGTTTGGCTCATTCTACATACAAGTGAGGGAGGTTCAGCTTCCAAATGAGGCCATATGTAGATGGTAATAAAGTACTGCAAATTCAACTACATTTATTTTCAGTTTAAAACATTCATAATTCTAGCCAGCCACTGTTATAGATTTCAACGATGGAAAGATTATAACTTAGAAGTCACTGTTACACTTTTACACTGTTACAGGACTAAAATTCTTTTCTAAGCTATGTGTGTAGATTCATTCATTTTAAAGCCCAGTTCAAGGGCTATAAGCCTGTGAGTTTTAAAGAAACATAGGCTTAAAATGAAGGTTGCCTATGTCCAAGGTGTGGTGGAAAGTGACAGATCCTGTTCAAGGGTGTGAAGTTTTAGAAATACAGGGTGCAGGCATGCTGGAGATCCAGTTGCAGAATGGCTGCCTTAGGTAGCCTGTTGTGCAGTTTGTAATGAGAGTAGACCACTATTTCTTCAAACAAAGAAATATGTAAGTCTGTTACATGATCATACATTAATAAGCTTGGTATATGGGGGAATCTGTTTGTGACTTGTACATACATTAAAACCTAACAGTGTATATGCTAAATGTATATAGCTTCATTCGTTGATAAACTTGTAAAATTAGATCAATTAAAAGCAATGCAATTCAGGATATCTTTACTAAACATCTTGGATTTATCCTAGAATATGTAAAGGAAAGTAGTTTGCATGTGAGCAAGGACTTGTGTAGTTGGACGTTTTCTTTGGCTTTTTGTTTGCTTTTTGGTGTTCATTTTTACATGGCTTTACTTTTATATGTGTACATCTACATTTAGAGTTGTTCTTGATTATTTTAACTAATATGTAGTGATATCATTCCCCCATCTCTTTCTTCCGTCCAGAGTCTCCCATGTAACTCATCTGCTCCCTCTCAAATTCATGACCTTTTTTTTAAAAAATGTAATTGTTATTGTCAATACATACACACAACAATATGTATATAAATGATACCTGCTGAGTCTGTTTAGTTTTGCTTGGGGTGGGAGTCCACAGAGGTTTCCTAGTGAGATCTGAGCTTGCTTTACATAGCAGGGCTGCATAAGGGGATGGATTGACCACGTGTGTGATTACCAGGTGTTTGGAAGGGTCTGCACTTGGCCGTGCTAGGTGGAGGCCTTTTGCTCCACCCTTGTTATTTTTATAAATATCCCTTTAGAAGAGAGAGAAGGGGCTGGTGGTTTTTCACCCAAGCCCTCCCGAGGCTATCCTGTGTTCCTATCTGTCTCTCCCCCTCTGTATTTCTGTCTAACTATTTCTCACTTCTCCCTGCTCAACAGTACCCTGCGGGGGGGGGGGGGAGCAATGGGGGCAGGTCTCCCTCAGCTTGGATGTGTATGAATTCAAGGCTGACCTCTTGGTATTGGATATCCAACTAGTTTGCACAACCTTCAGGAAGAATATTTCTCCAGAACTCGTGCTTTTCTGAGTTGCCTGGTGTTCTCTGTCGAGAAGTGGGACCCGTGTGGTTTTGCTCATTCACGTTAGTGTTTCTCATAGTCCTTGTTCTGGTCGTTTAGAAAGCCATGTTATTGAGGTTCTATGGGTGAAACTCCATGCCTTTTGTGGCAGTGTTTTCTTCTGTTGTTTCTAGCCTCAAGCCAGAGAGCTCATATGATGCTTTGTGTCACACTGCTTGCATTGTTTGTTTATGTCAAATGTGCCCATTTACCTGAGGAGAATCCTCTCTAGGAACTACTGACTCAGGGTAATGATAATATACCAGCAAAAACAACAACCCAAACTATACCTAATACGTTGTTGTAATAGGCTCACCAACCCTGTGATATAATAAAATAACAACCCCATTATAGTTTGCTGAAACTCCAATCTCAGGAGTTTGGGGTTGTATTTGGTTTGTTGTTTGTTTAGTTGGTTGGTTTTGTTTTGGTGGATTTTTAATTTCTTTTTATCTTTCAGAATTCTCCCTGACATTTATCGGTCAGCTTCTGATGACAATCATGTTAGAGTAGAGGTGGTTTTCACATAAAATATCTAATGAAAACAATACTGCAAATAATATTGATGTAAATAATCCTTCAGATATTTCAAGATTATAGTGTTTTGTTTTTATTTGTGGGTTAAGTGTATTTGAACATATTATTTCAATCATTTTTGTTCTTTATTGTGAATTTTAAAATATCTGTAGTATAAGCTTTAAAGGATACTGGAAATAATTTTTAAATTTATATTAAAAACAAATGAAACATCTAAGTATTTATATTAAAATAAACAATAAAACATCCAAGTTTGGCACATAAGAACACTGTATTATTTTATTTCCCACTTTGTGTATAGTATATTAAATGATTGCACTTATGATTTTAAATTACTGTAAACATATGAATTGTTCAAAAACTTTTGAGTTAATGTTGAAACTATTTTCCCTTTGATTCGCAGTAACTGAAGCACTATGAGAAAACTAAGAGGAAAGATTCCCTTAAATTTTGTTTTCCAAATCTAGCATGTCTTCTAAACCTTTAAACACTCAGTTCTATGATTATGGTGTATCTTATACAAAGATTATAATGTATCTTAGATAAGGAGAACATTCTAAAGAACTGGACATGCTTTTCTTCCTTTGCTGTTTTGAGTACTTTGTCCTGAAATAGTAAATAATTCTAAGAGTAGATATTATAAGGTAATGCTGTTTTGCACAAGACACGGTGCATATATCATCATAGGACATTTTTGGATTTTGAGCTCCGTCATATGTACTGTTTCATTAGTTGCAAGCCCATCTTAGAGGCTCACGAAGTAAAATACAAGGGGAACTAAAATTACAAATGAAGGCTGTTTAAATGTCCTTCGGTATGGATGCACAAGCCGCGTGTAATTTGTGTGCTATGTGAACATGGTGTTGTTTTAGCTACAATCATCATGTAATTTAACGTGCTATATTCTGTGATTGGATTTTCATTGTGACAGGGTAGCAGTGTTGTTTTCCATGAGGATCCTACAGCACACTGTGCACTTGTCCCGTGTTTTCAAGAACCATCACATTTCCCTTAATATTAAAATAGGGTAGCCTGGTCAAGAGAGCAAATGTCAGATATCCAGGGAAGACCATTAGTTTCTGTAAACCTTTTGGGTTAAGTGCTAGGATTAGTATGGTCTTTTCCAGTTGTATTAATCTTTCATTTATAACATAAAATACAATTTCAGCTTTAGCCATTCAATAATAACTGCATCTTAATTTGGAACTAAATAAAACCCTCATTAAACCTGAGAAATGTTAGCTTCACGTAGATACATGTTTTTCTCTCAATCAAACTGAATCCTGCACTTGGATTTTCATATAAGTGTCAAGGTCCCAGAAGTCTTCTGAGGCATGGATTGCATCAGGGAGGAAAAACTTTAAGAACGGGATAGGAAAAGCTGTCCTGAAGTGGGGCTAACGTTGTCTTCCATATCTGGAATCAGTAAGCAGAACAAAACAGAAGACTTGATGTCATCATCCCATACATGTCCATATTATGGGTCTGTGAACCCATTAACCATAGTTTACTAATGGATAAATTACCGAACCTAGGAAGTTGTTTCTGAGTAAAATGTACAGTGATGAGGCCACTGTCAGCTAGATTCTTTTTCAGAGGCGATTGAATCTAATTATATGTATTTTTTTCCCTCAAGGATAAATCATCCCAAATCGGTTTAATCCATTTACTGTGAAAGCTCCCAAATTTGTATTTCTGTTATAATAGTAGTATGCTTTCATTCCATTCAGAAATGTAAAGCTACTCTTTTGAATTATATAGTACTGACTTAAATGACATGTAATCTATAAGGTTGGTGTCATTATTAGATGGAATAAGAGAAACATGGAGAATCTGTCCTTTAAAATGGTGTTACTTATGTGGTTAATATCAAATATGCAAAATAAATGTATTTCTATATTTCAGTGATCAATTTAAGACATTTTACATTTATTTGTGTGTGTGCGCTTACAGGTGGCTGGCTGCACATGCCAAGGTCTTGCAGGAATGGGTTTTCTCCCTCTACCTGATGAATGTTAAAGATCAAAATCAATTCTAAAACCAGCTAAACCATCTCCTTGATGCTTAAATACTAAGTTTTTTTCTGAATTCTTAAGGATTGAAAAGGGTTTTAAGTATAACTTTTAACTCATTTAAAATGAATTTTATCCTATCCATTGACTTTATCTTACAACTGTCTAAGAGAAATATTTTGTTATATTCTGTTAAATATAGTTTTAGAAATGATAGTTGGTCTTTCCTCTTAATTAATCCTACTAAGTATTCACATTTCCATTGTTCTATGGATGACATTGCCAGCAATATTTAACTGCTACCTAAAACTTATGTCCTATTCAAGCAAATATAAATTACTATGCGCAAAATACACAAATAGATGTTTGTGTTTTAATTTTTAAAGAACACTGAACATACTCCTTTAATAAATCTAAAGTCCTAAGTCAGCAAAATCTTCTATAATTATACATAACTGGAAGTACAATAATGTCAGTGTTGGTGTTCATGATGATTTAAGCTTGCATAAATTTACTATTTCTTTATTTCTTTTGATTTCAGATGCAATAACAGAACCCAGTGTGCTGTGGTGGCAGGTCCTGATGTTTTTCCAGATCCATGTCCAGGAACTTATAAATACCTTGAAGTGCAGTATGAATGTGTCCCTTATAGTATGTATATTCCTATACTTTTTTAAAAATGATATTACTCTTTGATTTACATGTACTGACAAATTCTCTGGGAGGGCATAAAATATCTGCATAAATATAAAGAAGGCAACAGATTTGAGATTTCCAGGTCTTAGACCGCTCCCACATCACATATCCCTACAGTATCCAATTTTGAGATGATGTATTTGTGTACATGAATGACAGTATTAACAATGTTTTTAATGCAAGAACATGCAATGCATAGAAAAGCAAAGAGGGGCATGTATATCCCCTCTGAGTCTCTCCAAAATTGAGCAAGTAGAAACTGATATTAAATTTTATACACTTACGTGCATAATAGTATCAAAACATTTTTTTCAGTGTGATTAAATAATATCTACGTTTTATGTACTGCCAACCTTTTGAAAATCAGATGCATATCCATTCATGAGGTTCAGACTGGAGAGTAACAGGAGGCTATGGATTAAGGAACACATCAGAGTATTTTTATACACTCCCGAAAAGCCTTTAGATCAGCCATGATATAGAGCAGGAATGTGTGTTTTTCTTTCTTCAGGATTAATGAAGAATGAAATAATCTAAAATGGAGCATTTTCTGACTTCTTATCCCAAAGGAAGATTCACCAACAAAAAAGAATTTTTTTCCCCTTACTGGTTAATTATTCATGGGATTTCATAGTGAAAAATCACACAGGAAATCCTGTAGTCTCATATTAGATATTCAGTTCATCCCAGAGACAGAGAACACCTGGGATCATAAACAAATCCCGGGTTCCAACTTCCTTTGATGTCTTAGAAGGAGAAAAATATCTGGGGATCAGCAGGCTTCCCGTGCCAAGAGACAGCTCTGAGCTTGCTCATCCATGCTTATTTCAAGAAACAGCACATGACTCATGAGCTGGAAGTGCGCACGCTTCAAAAATAGAGAAAATTTTGGCCAACAAGAAATGAATTATAATTTAAAAATAATAATGAAGCAAGATAAAATTTCATTTTGAGTCATTATAGCATGACTGAGTAGTGAGAATTCAAGAAATTTCATGTACTTACATTCTTTGTTCTGAAAAATGCATTTAAGTGTATAGATTTAATTGAACTCTCAAGTGTGTTTCATACATTATTATCTCTACAGGAGCCTCTGTGAAAAGTATAAAGCTCCCACTGACCATTTTTTGTTGACCAGTGATATTTTAGGAAATGAAAGGCATAAACCATCTTTGAACTGAGACAGTTCTACATTGTTTGCATAATGATGTCTTTGTGAAGTGTGGAGAATGCATTTCTAGAAAGGCATTTTATGAAAAAATATACAATAGGCAAGATTTTATTACTAAAATAGCTGTAGAATACCTATATTAATGTTCTGATTTTCATCATTTGAAACATGAAAGCAGAGATAAATTGTCAGATTGTTTTTTTTTCATAATTAAAAAAATGAAACAGTTCACAGTTATCTCTTTAATCTCCTGTATTTCATCAGCTTTCTATGAGGATCACAACTCTAACAGACTCTGCCAGATTCATTCTGAAATGTTCTTTGCAGACATCACTTCAACATAAATAAGAAGTTGCTCACACTCTTTTGCATAAAAGGATGTGCTTTACCACACATGTCTTTTCTCTTATAAATTTTCAACAACGGAAAACATGATTTTTAATATCTATATTTGGAGTCTAATAATTATAAAATTTTCTCTCTGTCATAAAAATATCTTAGTATGTTATTCATCTGGTTGTTTTCCTAATGAAGAATTAGAAAATTAGACATACCTGCTAGTTACTTTATACTAAATGAATTTGTTGTGTATATCTGAATCGTGTTTAAATTATCTTCAGTATATTTGTTTTAAAGAGTTATGCAGATTTGAAATGCATTTAATACACTTAATATAATTTTAGAAGGAAAATCACTCAAGGCAGAAACTGGATCTGGGTTACTGCTCATCTGATAGAGTGCTTGCTGGGAATGCACAAAGCCATGAGTTCAATACCTAGAACATCATAAAATATGCACTGTGGTCCATATATATAATACAAACACTAACGATGGAAACAGGGAAATCTGAAGTTCAAGGGGACCCTTTAGTCTATAGCAAGTTCAGGGCCAGCCTAAGATACATGAAACCCTATAGCTAGAGTTTTCCTGCCTGGCCTACAGTCAGGACAAATCTGTCACCCGTCAGTCCCACAGCTGCTCAGACCCAACCAAGTAAACACAGAGACTTATATTGCTTACAAACTGTATGGCCATGGCAGGCTTCTTGCTAATTGTTCTTATATCTTAAATTAATCCATTTTTATAAATCTATGCCTTTCCACGTGGGTCATGGCTTACCAGCATCTTCACATGTTGCTTGTCATGGCGGCGGCTGGCAGTGTCTCCTTCCTCCACCTTCCACTTCCCAGAATTCTCCTCTCTCCTTGTCCTACTTATACTTCCTGCCTGGCCACTGGCCAATCAATGTTTTATTTATACAGAACAATATCCACAGCAAAACCTTCTCTCAAGAAAAGAGTTCTAAACCATAAACCAGCCCATGTATCAAGGCTTGTGGGCAAGTTGCATTTCTTTAACAAGACAGTGAGATAAGGCATCATAGATTTATAACACAAACTGATTACTTTTAAAGTAGCTAATTTCTCAGTCCATATAAGCATTAACATGTTAAAGATTTCCCCCAAAGCGCTCCCGTGATATCTTAATAAGTCCTAATCTAAATCAACTCCCAAATCTTTTCCTTAAGCATGAGATACATGTTTGTCCCAGTGCTGGAAAGAGTCACTTAGTAAGATTTATTGATGCCATCACATGCTATTATTTCCATAGGTTAAAGGTTTACATACATTAGCATACTGACTCTCACAAGAACTTCCCTAGGAATTATGAACATCACCATTTTACTGCAAAGGAACCTTAACACTCAGCATGTTAGATACATGCCCTGTGTGTAATGAAACTAGAGAAATTCAGAGCTAAGGCATGATCTGCCTCCAGTACCCACTCTCAGGGAGCTGTGATATTTAGCCCCATAGATTTTTTTTTGTTGATTTTTTTCATAAGTTATTTGATTTTCATTCCTTCCTACTTGATAATGCCAGGTAGTACAACCGGGTGTTCTCCAGATCCAATACTGTCTTCTCAAACTCTTAGCTTTGTATTAAAGAGTTTGCATTCCTTAGAGTCATGAAACTACTGCAAGCTCATTTTTCCAAACACTTCATAAAACTGTAAGGTATAAATAGTCTGTGTCATTAAAAATGCTACCTGTAACTTTTAATGAGCTTCTGATCTATAGTGAATTAGGAAGCTGTTTTTTAGTTGTTTGCATTAGAGAAAACTTGGAAATTTGCTGAGGTTTTGCATTAGGGATACTTGAGATTTATGGTTCAAACTTTGTTGAAATTTTTCATTTAACAGTTAAACAAACAATTCATGTAATGCCATAGCCTGTTGGTTAAATAAATGGATATTTCCAGTTCCATTCTAAGTTGAAGCCCATAAGATAGAGGCTGTGAGGATAGCCCAATCTGTAGAATTCTTTATTTCTAAACCTGAGGACCTGAGTTCAATCTGCTTGTGCTTGCAACCCAGTGCTGGTCAGGCAGATAGAGATAGGCAGATCCTGGGATCCTAGACTTTGAAGCAAGTTCTGGGCTAAGGAAGCAACTTGTCAAAAAAGATGGCACCTGAGAAACAAGAATCAGGGTTATCCTCTGATATACACACACACATTTATACACATGTCTACATATACCTCATATACACATACACTCATGTCCATGAGTGCCATTGCAACACACACACACACACACACACACACACACACACACACACACAAAGACCACAAGCTATATAATGTGGAATCTACATCTGTGCTGCTTCATGAAACTCTATGAATGATAAAATTACAGATATGACTTTGGTCCCATAATGCCACAATGGAGCTGCATAGTCAGTCCCACTTGCCCAGTACATTTTTCTGTACCTTTGCTGTGGTTATATGTATTGAGATACACAAATACCCTTTTACTACAACTGCAAACGTTACTTAGTACATGTTACACGTGTGTAGTCTTAGATATATAGTCGATAGAATATAGGGGCATCATAGGTTCTACTATCAAGGTTTCTGCAAGTTTACTCAGTGACATTTACATAATTGCAGATCATCTAATGATAAATTTGTCAGGATGTATCATCATTAAGTGATAAACATGGTATACTTTGTAGCTACAAAAATTTGCTTCTTATAAATTGGACACATTAATGGTGTGTTAATTTTCAAATGCTGTGATGAACACCATGACTAATAGCAACTTAGAGATGACAGGATTTATATAATTTTGTAGCTTACAGTCCATAAAGAAGGGATGTAAGGGCAGGAATTCAAGGCAGGAACCTGGAGGTAGGAACTAAAGAAGTCATAGAGGAACACCACTAACTGGGTTATTCTCTGTTTCTGGCTAAGCCATAGAGAATAGTTGGTCCTTATCCAGGACCAACTGCCCAGGAGTTGCATGTCCATAGTAGTCCTGGACCCTCCCACATCAATCATTAATCAAGAAAGTGTCCTACAAACTTCCCTACACAAAATCTGACAGAAGCATTTGGTCAAATGAGGTTCCTCTATCTTGTGCCAAATTTAGAGAAACTAACTAGGAAACTCTATTGCAATTCACAAGCAATTATTGATTTTTTTTTAACATTTATTCATTTATGTGTGTGTGTGTGTGTGTGTGTGTGTGTGTGTGTGTGTGTGTGTGTGTCCCCACACGCACACGAAAGTGTATGTGTGGAGATCAACGGAATATTTGTGGGAGTCTATTTTTGTCATTCACCATGTGGTTCCCAGGATTAAACTCAGGTCATCAGGCATGGCAGCAGGCAGCCAGACTCACTCAGCCCTCTTGCTGGTCCTGCAATATTGATTTTTTTCAAAAGGTTTATTTTTATTCATGTCCACGTGTGTGTATGTCACATGTGTGGGTGTGCTTGTCGA